AGTGCCTACCTAGTTAAACTTAACTACAACTAAAATTCGGTTATAACTACTAAGAGTAATGGGAGTCTTACGGGAAGCGTTGGGTCATATACGTTTACGGTTTCTTGTCAAATGTATTGAACGATCTTACGTTGTCCTGTTGGTGAGTACCTAAAGTAATTAATTTTTCGCCATTAATCAAGAATTTATGTGTGGTTTTAGATATTTGAAAAATTACAACTAGTAGGTTAGTTGTTTAACACTGAATCATTACCAATTAATTCCAGTAGTTGATGTAATCCATTTTGACAATTGATAGGAAAAACAATTTGAACAAGTAAACAATAGGCGAAATGAACTAAAATAAAAGTTACGCATTGCTGTTGTCACTAATATTTTTATTATTCTAAGGAATAAATAATGATAGTAACAATAATAGTAGTAGTATAAACAATAATAACAACATCAACAAGTTCTTCACAATATACACATACACATGTATCATGTTACACTGGAAAATAAGCCGAACAACTAGTAAACAGGACGCGAAAACAACTTTGTCCAATTTTTACAAGCTAAAGTTAACAGCCGAATTGTGTATAGTATGCAGCTTACTAGTCATGACATAATTCAACATTTTTTTATTGTTTCCTATTGAAAAAAAAACAGTGATGGAGTCACTTACAAGCTATCTAGTCTTAATTGTTTCGTCTGACATATCCACTATCTCTTTCACCTTGTAGCTTCCGTTTACTTTAGAGTGAGTGTACTACCCACAGAAAGCTCATTAACACATAACACTTATTCATCATATTTGTGTTCTTTGTTTTTTTTATATTGTTTTTATTTCGAATAGATTGAGAAATAAAAAACGACCAAAAATCTCTAGGGTGTTTCGATCAAGTTTTGGATTTCTCAACAATTTTCATCGATCGCTATTCTTCCACTGAACATTATGTCTTCTATGTATGCTTCTTCATCCATGTGTGTTGTGTGTGTGTAAGTGTGTAAGTGTGAACAAGCCAACACTACAAGTCTTATGCCATACCGAGTGTGAACATCATCATTTAATTGAATAACAAGTCTTAAACAAGGTGTTATAATTAGAGTAATTTTTAAAGAGAAATATTTGATGATTATTAGGAATGTGATAAATTACTGTCATTATTTCATGATGAACATGATATCTTTTTTCGTTTTATTATTATTTAATATCTCTTTTCAACATCATTGTCATTATTACAGTAACAATGCATCACAAGGCAGAGGAAGAAAAAGAAACAGCAGAAGCAGCGCAGTTGTACTTATCTATTTATATTTATATTCTCAAGAGAGAATGAAATAAATTATTGCTCTAGTTACATATGTACACATAGCTGGTTGTAATACTGAATATACGTGCATATATATATATATATATATATATATATATATATATATATATATATATATATAAATCATCATTTGTTATTCCTTATGTGATTCTGTTCAATGTGTATATTTAAACAAACTAATGTGTACTATTTCATTCAGGTTAATTTTAACCAACAATAATATTTTTTATGAAACGTATTATTTTTTTAATTTGATTAAAGTGAAAAAAAAGAAAGATTGATTTATGTTAGATTCTGGTACTAAATGAAACATTCGCCTTAATGAATGTGCATTTTTATTACCTTTTTTGCAGAATAATGAGATAATGACGATTAGAGAGTGAATTATGCAAAGAGTTATCGAAATTCTCATTATTTAGGACAATCAATCACATTAATTGTCATTGGTGGGACAGATACATAAATATCATGAACACATTTGAGTGTATTCCATTGAATATGAAATAACGAGTCTTGAAATTTTCGGAGTGAAATTCATTCATCCATGTGACTAAACAAGACTGAGGATAAACTGCGCGTCGGTAAATCATCCAAGTGTATTGTAATCAATAACAACGGTCATGTTTTCTTTCATTTAGTCAGTAATTTGTACGTATTTCGGAACAAATTTTGTTATATAAATGATTTGAAGTGGGGTTTTTGCTAAATTTTAACTTTTTTTTCACTTCGTAACTGACTACACTTCATCTGACACATCTGTAGCAAGATGGAGTAATATTTCTATCTTAGAAAACTTTCAGTAAGTAAGACTTTAGTGAGTACTGTGAATCTGAGACCAAACTAAGAATCCCAGCTTCATACTAACTGATCCCATGGCATAAAGCCGAAATGGTGAACGACAGTGAAGTCGCTGAACAATATTTTAACATTACAGCTGGTGCCAGTTCTTGATGAAAACTCTTACTCTAATTTCCAATCCTAAATCCCTATTCTAATTTCTCGCACTAATTTATAACCCCCTTAAGCCCCTAAAGAGTAGGTGAAATATCTCAAGGTCATTTTATTGTCGTTGCAAGGTCGTTCATAAATTAGTCTTGCTGTTAATGCATGGACCATATTAGTTTAAAAAAACTCCATCTACTGAATCTCGATATGATTGCTATTGACTTTTCCTTATCATAGTAATAAAATAAGCACAACGGTATCATATATTCATCACTTTTATTCGTCTTAGACTGATGATGTTTAATTAACTGTTTCTATTTACTCGGACACTGCACATTAGTTCATTTTTAGGCGGTCTGAAGCTCTCTAAGAGAAGTAGTTTAATTAACATACACTTTTAGTCTTTTCATACATGATAAAATATATTGGAATATATATATTTTTAAGTACGAATTTATCGGTGAAATGTTAAGAGGTTAGAAGTAGTCGGTAGGAAATACTTGACCTAAGTTTTATGTTGGCTGACATTCTTCCTCTTAACAGAGCTGTTGCTGTCTGGGGAAGTGGAATCTGATAATCCTAGACGTCATCACTGTGCTTGTCCGATCACGACTGACTTCCTTTTAATAATGAAGTATTCGAAACAAAATGTTCAATGAGTGATCATCAGTGTCAACTTTTTCAAGTCCTCTTTAGTCTTGATAGAATTATATCAGTCAAATAACAATGTGTTCACCAATTTAAGTGACCGAACGTTGCATGCTCTGTGTTTTGATGTTTGATGGTGGGACTGTTAGACGAATATTACACTGGTTGCTACTCAGTGACCAGTTAATCTAAATTTAGGAAGAATATTTTTAAAGAGATTGTGTAATTTGAAGTCAGTTTTGATGACGAACTGACATCAACTGATAAATCATCGAAATCATGTAGTGAACTCCCAATACTATATGTCTGTTAGATCTTGAACCAAGCATGATAAATTCTTATTACCAAGTTAGAATTCTGAGGTTTAAATTTCAGTTGGTTTCCGTGTCGAAACAAAATCATTAATGTGCTTACAAATATATAATTCTCAACCGAGTACATAAATCTATACTTGGTTGATGTGTCACATACATTGAAATAGTGGAGTGATGATTGTCTTTGATCTGTCGATAGTATGTTTAAACCTTGTCAACAGCAACCTTGATCAGGTAGTGAGGTAGCATCGCTACTGTTCGTGGATGATGTTCAACCTAAAATAAAACGCAAGAACCGATACTATATGAAAACAACACATATGCCAATGAATGACTTGAAATATACTAATGGAAGTAATGATCACTTCCGAATTTTAGCAAATTAACATTAGAAATTGTGCTAGTCGAGATGTTAACACCCTTCAATGTTTACTATATTAAACGACAGTTCCTTTTATCGGTAAGATATAACCTTAGTAATTTAAGATTTTTCCGGTTTTTGTCATATATACTTCTTAGTATATAAATAGCTTTCAAAGCACTTCTTATCTTACTCAACATTATATTTTAACCTAAGAATCGAAAATGGACTGAAAATTATATATCGTAGTCTACGCTGTTTAATAAATTCTTCGAATACTGTGTGTACCCTGTACAACATCGGTGAACCTGCACAAGAACTGTAAGCTCATTAGTTCACTGAGAACATAAAGTATGTATATAATAGATAACTCCATCGAGAACCCCTGTCAGTTTACTATCAAACTCAAATTCGCTCGAAGCAGGAATTTCGGGCGTACAGTTTTCATTAACACTACTTAAAATAGAACCTTGGTAAAAATCTCTTACAAGAAAAAATCATTTTAACAACTCGGACTCTACTTCAAGTGTCTTCACTAGAAAGAGTTATGATGGCTCATGATTAGAGTCGAGATTCGTTGGAATATTCGAGGTCAATACGTCTATTAACAAACAGAGCAACAACAAACCTGAGTAAATAGACTGTTCGAAAACTTGCGAAACTCAGAGTATGATTCAAATAGTATTAGAAATGGTAAGACACAAAGGTGATGCGGTTAGAATAAACAAAACCCACTGAACTCAAGTTGAACAGAATTGTCTCATTTCCACAGACTTAATATTTTATTCTACTTATAAAGAAGAACATGTCTCACAGATATAAGCATTTAGGCTGAGGCTAGATAAAGAACCACGAACAGTACTCTTAGTTTGAGAAAAGCATAAGTGCACGATGATCAAATCATCCTTCAGAAGAAAGATGGGAAGATTAAAATAAATGTCACTTATTGATATGCACCCACGGACGATGGAGATGGAAAAGATAAAGACCAGTTTTATGTGAGGATGTTGGTCATTGTAGATGACTGGTCAGAGGAAGACGTGACTAACTTGATGAGCGACACAAGCGCCGAAGTCGGGATAAAAAACACCGGATATGAAGTTCGCGCTGGATGATATGAGTTGGGAGTAACAAATGAGGATAGCAATTACAATCCCGTCACCTTTTTATTTGTTTCATTGGTGTCTCATCCCAATTAACCGACGATTTCAAATCAGAAACCAGTGGACTATTGGATGCTGACTAAGTAGGCTGAAGAATAAAGGCTCATAGTGGTGTACAAAGGTACTGAGTTCGATCCGTGGGTGTAGTAATGAGGATTCACTGTAGCAAATTCTCAAACTATTAAGCGACAAGTGTTCAGTGCTCGCCAATAATTTTATGAAAAACTAACATAAGAAATAATTATTTACATAGTTTGTTGAATGATAAGATCGTGAAAATAGGTATTGCCTCCATTGTCTATATTATTCATCCTAGGTATTTCCTGTCTTTTGGATATTGTGAAGCTGATTTGTCATTGTAACCAGTCTCTCGAGAATGTAATTCAAAAACCATATCAGATTTGATTCTAAGTCGCATACTGATAATAATGTCTATATTTGGGGATTTTCTTCGCTAAAATGAGAAAATCACTAAACCGGTCGTTTTATTCCTTGAAATCTAACACAGGTTATTATGTAGTTCGTCGGATCACATAACTGAATAATGTATATAAATCAATATTAAAGCCACATACTAGTACAGTAGAGCATACTGAAACTTAGAAAAAATTCAAGTACTTCCAAGATATCAAAGTTAGCGGAAAACATATTTCGTAGTAGGGGTCTAAGTGGGGAAAAGTGAATCAATTAACTTGATTGTAATATAAGAAATGTGAAGTTAGTTAGTAATAACTGTACAAAAAATATTTTTTATGTAATTGAGCATTATCACGTATTATTATGTTCTTGTGTTCTGTTCAATGTTAAAGGTTACTGGAAAAAACGGCAAGAAACGCAATAAAAATGGAGCGAAGAATTAAAGAGACAATAGGTTGAATCAAAGGTCGATTACATAAAAATTGGGAAGAAAATATCTGATTTCCATTTTCCAGCCTCAACTCTCCAGTTTACAAAATAGACCAGCGCAAACCTGTCAGCACCCAAAGAAAGGTTCAAGAATGGAGAGGGTCCGTTTTTTCTCTGTTCATACTTCATATTAAAAAAAACAGATTGAAGAAAGGAAAAAGAAAGAAGAATAACACAATTTCAAATCAGTCAAAGTCAGATCTCTTGAAATTGCATCTTGCAGTCAGTAACAGCCAAAAAGAATATTCGATATCATGATGCAGTGGTGTTTATTTGTTAATATGAAATTTTCTGAATTATCCTTTGGGAAATAAACAGTATGATCAGTGTTCAACTAAAAGGCAAATAAATCCATTACAATTTGTACTTTCTTCCGATTATCATGGTGAAGTAAGGTGAAGTTAAAAAAATAACCAGGTTTTTGATCAAAACAATTGCCACATTGAACCTGATTTATTTATGATTGACAATATTTATATCGATGATTGATATGTTGAGAATATGATCCGGAATGACTAAAACGCTTACCGCATTTTTGACATTCAAATGGTTTTTCACCTGTATGCAAACGTTTATGCTCTGTTAAATGGTGTTTATGCTTGAAAGCTTTTGAACAAATGCGACAAATGAATGGCCGAAGACCTGAATCGTTTGATATATATAGATGAAAACAGATTAGAAAAAACGAGAATTAATTCACGTTATATAAATTATAGTATCGCAAAGTACAGATAATCAGGTTATTAAACTTCCTATATTTTGGTTTGTTAATTCATGAGGATTGTTTTTCTCATAAGGTAATATCTAGTACTTGACCACTGTGTAATAAAAACAATGCGGAACTCACCATGCTGAATAATAAAAAGCACACAATCTTTCACGTGTTTAAACCCAAAGACTTCAGTACTTTTAAATGTCATTCCTAACTAGGATGGTTCTAGAGATCACCGCTTTGTACTAGGAGTGACTGAAGTTGAGATTGAGGACCAAGGATTGAATGACTATTTTTCCACGTTAGCTTCAAGGCAAGGTCTTATTTCGGGTTCCTTACAAGAATATATGTGTGCCGTGATGATGACTTACAAATTAGAACAAAGAAACTATGGACAGTCTGTCTGGATTTTGAACAGTTTTTCAGTGAACAAATGATTTCATTCATAACGTCATATCTGTAAGACCCTATTCAGACAACAGTCAAGTATAATACACAATTATTATAGTTTCAACAGAATGGTGAGACGAAGCTTATGGAATAATTATTAGAACATCTGATCGATATCCTTTAAGTTAAGAGAGTTTTACCTCACCTATAATCAAAACCTTATTTCATCAGTGATCACCGTTCATGTGTAATCGGAATAAAACTTTAAATTTTAATTCTGCTTACGGAACTCGGAGAATCATTGATCTGATTACCAGTATTACCATCTGATGTCATGGTGAATTCACCACAGAAGTTATATTGACAATCAGTGAGTGCTGCCTATACATCATACCTAATTTCTTCTTCATGTCTCATATTCTAAACCATTGTTTTATTTCAATATATTTATCTTCATATTCATTTTTTTTTAATTTCACGATGAAAAATTTCATTTGAACAGTGAATCGAAGCAGACAAGAAAAGAAAACTAATGATAGTTAAGCGAAAGATAGTCATATAAATCATTTGTCAGGTTGGTTGTTTTCAAAATTCAAGTTTTAATTTATACAAAACATAGCAGCGAAATTTCTCACTGATTAAACAAACTTTTAAAAATCATCGCGTCAAACGTGACTCCCATACACCCTCTCTCTCTCTCTCGCTCTCTCGCTTTCTGATTCAAATACACGTATAGATTTTAAATCGAATATACAAGAAAACAGCTTATCGTAGCAGTCATTTGTTCGGATTTTTGGGAACAATTTCTCTTTGCTACAAGTTAAACTAGGAAGAAAAAATAAACAAGGTTTGCTTTTTTTCTAAGATAGAGGAAGATGACAACATAATTTAAAATGTTTTTATGCATCCTCCATTCTATAAGACATAAGCTTTAGTCAAACAGAAGTTTAGTGTCTAAAAGAGAAAAGAAATGAGTTGTTACGGCTGCAATGAAAATTATCAAAACAACTTTCATAAGACACAGGATAGTGTTACTCATGAGTAATATAAACGTTCTAATAGTTTGAGGTATTTTTTTAAGGTCAATCAGCAAAACGTGGCTTATTAAAGTGGGAAATAGCTTCTTCAATCGGTTTACTTAAGTCAATTTAGTTTTCGTAAGTAGGATAATTTTTGTCATATTATCATTGGTATACCTCTCATAAATAAAACGTACCAAATACAACTATCCATTTTTATGTTAATTTATAGCTTTGACACATGAACAGTGAAGGTAAACTAATCAGGAAAATATTGTGCTCAATTCCGAATATTCAAGAAGCACTGTTTGTACATATTAAAGGGAATTAAAAGGTGTGACGGTTAGTTAGACAAGGAATCTAAAACTCCCAGTGAGACTGTTCCTCTTTAGAGCTGATCAACTACCCTTCATAAGGAACCATGAATAGTCTCTGCTTAGGAGAACTGTATTAGAATGCAACGCTTGTTCACTGTTTTTTAGTCCCCAATGATACTAAAATGTCAATCAGTGAGAGAAACTAAATCCGGACTGTCAAAATTATTCAAGACATAACAAAACTACCGGCTTAACTGTATTTGTACAATGGGAAGAATTCAGTTAATATTCATCAAATAAGTCATTTTCAGAGTTCTTTCAACTGTATGAACAATAGAATGTGACAGTTGTTTTTTTGCTAGTTTAACTATTTCACAATTCTGATGTTTCCATTTTGATATTTAATATTTGTGGATTAGAACACGAATGTTCTTATGTTAAACTAAATTATACAATCGTGTTTCATTTTATAATTTCAATTGTAAAAATGTTGTACAACATTGATAAACACAATAATATACATTTGAGACTCAGTATAGCAAGAATAATATCATATTGAATACTTTGTATTACAAATGAACTTATTTTAAAAGAGTTGTCGATATTGTGTCAGATTACTGACAAATAATATTCTAAACGATTTTGAACAAGCAATATGGACCATAGTCTTTTATCTCAATCATTCGAATTTTTTCTAAATTGATGTGTCTAATTTTATAAAAACCCTTAACACTATACATCGTGGAGATTGTCGAGCTTCGATCCACTGCCGAGGATCGATTCTCCAGGTTTTCAGTGGTGGTCTAACATTGATCGATTCATCATTTCAATGAAACTGAACAATCTCCACAACCCTAAAATGTCAATTATCAAGGTGAATGGCTTCGAGAGAAAATTCCTGGAGTTCTATCCAGAAGGCGTGACCAGTGGAGTTCAAAAGTGTAAGATGCGAAGCATTTAATCACTAAAGACAATGGATGATAGCTGTACACTATCGAGCATTGATTGAAGTTAGACGTCAACACCGATGAATGTAGAATCAGTGGTCAACACACTAAGTGTTCGGTGGGGACCAATGGTCCTGAGTTTGAGTCCCACGTACGGATTCTGGGATTTTCACTGCTGACGAGCCCCATATCAGGACGAAATGGTCGTCCGAGGCCTTCAAATTTTCAGTGGTGGTCTAACATTACTGGGTTCCTGATTTCAATGAAATACTCTTAATTTGTCAACCAAAGAATGAATATATATATAAGCGTTTAAAAACTTCTATCTTAAATTAATTTTAAAAAATATCTAATTGATAATATTTGATAATAATATTTGATAATATTTTCCCGAAATTTCTGATTATTTCTCTTCATAATCTATTTACACGGAAAACATTCATCCTAATAAATTAGTACTGTGCTGTTGCTACTACAGTTGATACTCCGCTGAAATTGATAAATTCCATTCACCACTCAAGAAAAAATTATGGCATGATCATTGAACTTAGTTATCATGCTGACTGGAATCAGAGTGTTACGAAAAAACTATACTGACAAACATGTTATAATGACAATGTGTCGGAGGTGCAAAACAAAAGTCTGTTAACAACTAGACTGTTATCAACTTAAATATTGGGTTATGCGTGTGCATCGTTGATAAGCTATTCCATTCTCTAAAGGTTTTCACAATTTGTCGACTAATGTCAGTCAATGACAAAAAAATCATCTTTTAACACATTTTTGTATCTCACTTTCTAATTAACTCAGTCGAATATATAAAGTTATGCAATTAAAAGAACATTTCAAGAGCGTACAAGTTAAACAAACAAAATTAGTTACATTTACAGTGATTTCAAGATGACAACTGTGTTTCTCACAATTTAAAAGGTTATTTTTGTTCCTATATAGTTAGATAGATAGATAGATATAGTTAGCTACATTTCAAAAGTGAAGTTAACAATTTGGCATAATTTAGAAGTATCTATGATGTATAACTCTGCTGACAAACTATGGAAGTTCATATTGTATGTCATTCCTTGTTATTTCCATCAAAATAACAAAATAATTAAAATATATAAAATATAATAATAAAAATATTGAAAAAAGAACTAATAAATATTATTAATTTGATTTGCCTAAGACAGACCAAACATCAACTTCGTGTGACTCGGCTTTTGACGATTTCTTGAATATTCACGAAGTTAAAATCATAATTCATTGTTCACTTAAGAAATAACACACTATGTTGAATCACTATAACTGTAAAATTGAACAATGAATACTGTTTTTTTCATTTGTCAATTAACTACTGGTCAATAATTCATATTAATCCTACTCTTACTCTTTGTATGACAGAAAAAAAATCTCAGTGATCATTATAAAAATGAATGAAACTTATTCAGTTTAATTCATTTTATGCTTCAGAAAAAAAATGAACATACAATATTACAAGGATATTTCTACAAAAGCACACTAACAAATATATCATAATCAAAGCAATTTTACCAAATCTATGGTGTAAATTTTTACTGACATCTGTCATATAGCAAAGTTTCAACTTATAATCGACCATTCAAATTCACCTAACATGTATTTAATAGTAATAACAAAAAATATGAATTAAAAACAATTCTAAGCAACACCATTCGATTAAAAGTGTCCTTATTGCTACCTTGGTGATAAGAATCATACGTCAGAAAGAGAAAATAAAGCCAGAAACAAAAGACATACCTTAATGCATGAGGATAGGATATCCACTATTTTTGCTCATGAAATATATATTGTTCGGATGTTGTTTAATTCCTTCGTCATCTTGCTCTCACCTCCCCCCACACCCTTCATTAACTTATACCGAGTGGAATAAACGGTATGCAGTGTAATCCCAAAGAAAGATACTATGGACTTGGAAACAAAGTGATGCGTGTTTACACTGACAAAGTGAATAAATGATGAACAACAAGTTTGCATACAATTTAATGAATTAATAGGAATCAATTAATAGTAGTTTTTTTATTCGCCTATTCATTATAATTCAAATATATCACACTTGGTAATTGTAACAGACGAAAACAATACACACACATGCAGTCCGTAAATCTACTCCGACATTACTGCAGTTATGAAATTATGGAACAGCGTTGGTGCAAATCTGTTTCTATTATGGTTTTAAGTAGGCGGTAACTTTCTTAAAATATTTAAGAATATATTCATTGAT